TAATTACAAGTTGCGTACAATGTTTTAACGACAAAGTTTGGCAGACAAAAAGTAATCCACCTGGTGTTTAGGTAGTTTAACATAACATGACAAGTAATTGTAAGATTGGTGTACTTTCCCTGAATCTGACGAGGAAAGTACCGATGTCTTCTGTGTGGTATGCCCAACTCAGCTTATGGCTAAATTGACATGTAAAGTACCTATGATTATTTCCATTGCATGTTTGTGATTCGTTGTATATTATTTTAGTGAATTGTATTTGTTTTTTCTGGATCAATTTTTTAGACAATGGTTCCTTTTGGTTTTAACGTCTTGAACTTTTTATAAACTGTCGAGGCAGTATATATGCAAATTGGTAAATAAATAATCATCTAATGTATGCCTTTCATTTTGGTATTGTAGTGTTAGCTTGTTTCCGTAATTCTAAGCTTTCACAGCTCAACTAATAAAAAGTCTGTAATGTTGATCAGCTATGGAATATCTTTAAATTATTAATGTCCACGTAAAATATTTTTCCATTCCAGGTAAACATACACATGCTTTTTGTCATAATTTAACTAAAACATTCGGTTTTTAATCCATTACGAGATATACACGCCTTTTAACGCCTTTTTCACCTCCCCCCCCCCCTTTTTTTGTTGTCTCAAATTGTGAAAAAATGCCTTATTCAGGCCCCCAACACTTGGTTTTGTTTAAGTAATGTTGTTAAAAAAAATGAACCACATTTTTCGGGGGCGCGGCCTCCACCAAAAAAAGATACAGGGAATGTGGGCCCCCTTCTGTTTGGCGGGTTTGAAGGGGGCGGAGTCGCCCATTTTATCTTTGTCTTCACATCGGCCAAAGAATTCTTGAGGAGTTGGCCCTTGATGAAAGGGGGTACTAAGTACTTGCCTGCACCACATGAGGAGTTGCATAAAGATGTATGTAGTAATTCGTTGTTAATCCCCAACATGAAAAGCAATTTGACTCCCTATCCCATTCACTAAGATTCAGCATATAGAGCCGTAGAGGCGACTAATTGAAAGCATTTTGACTCCGGAGAAGGTCTATTATGAGACAACTAACCTCATGTGAGATTCCTCTTTATGTGTGCACATTGTGGTTGGTACGCATCCTGCTTCTCCCCCTCTTCTAGTTCGCTGAGTTGATTCTAGTGATTCCAGTCACCGATTCACAAATATCGAAGACTTGGAATTAAGGAGTGCCATCTGTGAATTAATATGATGATGTTATCTTAATAGTACATCATACACTTGTAAGTGATAGGTCTTCATGGAAAAATTTTACAGTACGTATGTTTTAAGAGATCGAAGAATATACTTTGAATCATACAGACGATATATAAGGCTCGTATTAATATATTTGAGTTGTGAGTATGAGCTAGGCACTTGATAGAGCTTGAGTAACGTCAGTAGGAGAATTGACTTTATTGTCTTGTGAATCTATCGCTGTCTTGTGAGACTTGTACAATTGTGATACAATTGTTTTATGTATGCCGTCTTGTCAAAACATAAATAAACGGTGGCTAAATTTGAAGGCGTTAAATTTAAAGGTTCCTTTAAGCTGCCACCCTCATAATTGTTAAAAAATTATTTAGAATAAGTCTTAGTTAGTGCCTCTGTGAATTAATATGATGTTATCTTAATAGTCAATCATACACTTGTAATGATGTTTGTTTCTATAAGATCAAACCTCTATCGAGATTTGATTTGCTCAAAATATTTTATTATACGAACATTATAGGCCTGATGTTCATTGAAGTATTTTGATAGTTGTAACAGCTGATTTACACGAAGATTGAGTATATATTTTTACACTTATTGTGTATGTACACTTTTGAACTCTATTTGTAAGTGACTATCTAAAAGAAGCATTTACATTGTAATATTTCTTGGAATTGGTTGTTGTTTGAAATGTCGGGACGACATTTTCCCTATGAGGGGGAGGATGTCGCAGGGTCATATTGATGTATTAATGTTAGATGTTATTTGTAAATGTATGTCCCGTATTGTACACCGTAGATTATGTGAAGTCCTATATTTGTTTCCTTATCCTATATTCCATACATTCATCCTTTTATTCATTTACTCATTCATTCATTTCTTTATTCATTCATTTATTAACAATAATAAATATTTTCTGAGAGCGTATTTCTGTATTTTTTTAGGTAAATATGAATGTCTGTATTGATCCCATACTTGTTATTCTATATTTTGCCATTCATGAGTTTGTGTCATTTGTCATTATTTTGTCTTTTCACTCCTACTGAAGATTTTCATGGCGCGAGCCAGACTTCGTATTCATCGATAATAAATGTTTTCTGAGAGCGTATTTCTGTATTTTTATAGCAACCCTCAAGCCCAGAACCTCTTAGCAGCACCTTTCCCATATCGTAAGAGTGGACTGCGACAATTAAAAACTATGTCAATTAAATATCAATGAAATAATTAAATCATAGCATCCTGCCATGAAACTGCCCCAACTATGCTATAGTAATGCTTCAAATAGATTATCTCCTGTTTTGCTACCCATGTTCCGGGATGGATTACCTCCCAGAACGCCGTGCACCTCTTGCATGACTCTTTCATGACTACAAGCGCCGGGAATCAGCTTGTGGTTACCTCCTCGGTATAGTATTGCGTTCTGAAGCGCAGGGTACCGTATTCTCATCAGATTGTGAAACATACGCAGACTAGTGACATTGACTGGACGGTTTGTGGTTCCTGCTTAAGTGCTGTCAGCAAGCATTGAAACCGGTTCGATAGGATGCTAAATGCATTTTTCCACTAAGCGTCGAGCCCTGGACAGTCTGTAATGAAATAATGTTTAAGAAACGATTGTATTTTTATATAAGAGACTATTTATCATTTAATGTGAAATTACAAAATAAAGGAGACTGTTCAATGCGTATACTTTGCTACTAGAATCAATTTAATCATTTTAACTAACTCATCCATTTGTAAAAGTTGCTTTACAGGATGAAAAGACGGTTAGTTTTTTTTCTCTTGTGTTTGTTCAACATAAGCAAAAATACATTTTATTGATATTGATATTTTTTTATCAGTTTGTAAGTTGTAAAAAATCTATTTGTGTGGTTAACATGCAAAAAGAAAATAAATATTCTTTAATTGGTAATTTTATTTTTGTTTAATGTTACACTCAAATTTAGTTTATGTATTACGACATCTGCCGGAATGTTCGTTGAGTCGTCATGTTGCGGCGTGACAGAGTAGTTACCCTGTAGGTCTAGGAATCTAAGGATAGCAGGCCGCGTGGGTTCAAGTCTCGACGTTTTTTTCCTTGAGCAAGAACATTTACACTTATTGCTAACTAGTTCAAATAGATCTAGACACTAATTGGAGGGAGTTTTTATAAGCTTATAGCATTCAACACAAAAGAATTTAAATAATTTCTGTTCAAGCTTAATCAAATCTTGATTGCCTTTTGTGCACATATAACTATTACAATTGTTACAAATAACCAAAACAAAAATGATTACTTATGAAAATATGAAATATATCAATTGCATACATGTACATGCATTTGAACTAAACGCATATAAAATAGCTAATATTATGTCTGGAACACCTGTACGGATAGTTGTTTCACAAAAACTCCTAAAATATAGTTGTGTTAAAGAATAAATCATAGCCTTTTCAATTTCAAATGAAAACATGAAACGAATTTACCTTTACATGCTCTTTGAAGTGTGTGTCAAGTTTCTAAAACGAAATTGACGTCGTTTTAAATTTACCAATGCTTATATTCAAGACAGCACGTCCATGAATAATAAATAACTGCATTCCGTTAGAGAAATGCGGTTTTTATGTATAATTTGTTCCTGCAAAATGCAAAACAGTTATATGCTTAAATGTATTTTCAACCAATGTATTATCCTAATTTTTATCATTTCTCATTTAGTGTAAGGAAAGCATCCTGACATTAAACGACACGCTTAAAAATCATGAAACGTAATATTTTTATGGGTTTATATCATAAATATAATGCTGAAATGAAGATTTATCAATATTATAAGTTGCAAAAAGTACTATTTGTATTGAAGTTACCGTACTAAAGATCCTGTATCACATATTTGTTATGGTTTTATATAAAAATATGATGCTCAAATGAAGATTTATCAATATTGTAAGTTCCAAAAAGCATTATTTATAAAGATATCACCGAATTGAAAATTTCATGTAAATAAAGGGAGGTAATAAGGAATTTGTTCTATAACGGTAATATCTCTACAAATAATGCTTTTTGGAACATACAATATTGATTAAACTTTATTTGAGCATTATATTCATAATATTTAAACATAAAAAAATTGTGTTACAGGATCTTTAAACTCATTTGATGATATGTAAACTATATATTTTATTGAATTCGTTGTAATTTAATGTACTATAACCTTTCCCTCATATAGACATGATTTGACGGCTTTTTGTCACCCCCTTTTTTAGGCCTGAAACAGTGAAATAATGCCCTATTTAGGCCCAAACACCGTTTTTTGTTTGAGAAATATTGTTTAAAAAGTGACTACTTTTTCGGCCCGGTCCCTCCTCTTGTTTTTTTTTTTTTTTTTTTTTTTTTTTGGGGGGGGGGGGGTTGAATGGGGGCGTTAGTCCCCCTCATCGCCAAGAAAATTTTGGACATGTAACAGGCTAAAATGGCATTAGGTCGATCTTAAGGTGTCGTGTAACCAACACTTTGATTGGTTTGAACCCTTAAATATAAAGTATTTGATAGTCTTAGAGTCTTTTAGCATCCAACTGTCCTGAAAGTATATTAAAAATCTATAATACCAACATAGACTATATACCTAGACCAAATGACCGACATTTCAAAATTATAATAAACACAGTGTTTGTTATCAAAATTTGTGGTACAATCATTTTACAAACTTTACGGGTAGGCCTTGGAAACCAGACACAAAACGAGACAAATAGAATTAATAATTTTACAGAACGCTACCAGCGGCAGAGGAGAGTCGGCAGCGGGCTCTGAATGATCACTTTAGCCATGTCTGTAAGACGTATTAACAGACTTCTTACAAGTCTATTTCTTACTATTTTATTTCACTTTGTTCATGGCTGGGTTACAAGTACTGGATATTTTCGCGTTTTGAATCGTAACAAAAATCTTAGAAAATGTAAAGGAAGGGAGGTGTTCCAGGTAATGTCTGCATTGATTATTATTTCTTTTATTAGCAATGTATACAATTAGGTTTAAAGCGAGCTGAACACAATTTTTAATACATAAAGATCCTGTAACTCATTTTTATGGTTTTATATCATAAATATAAATAAATGGAGATTTATCACTATTGTAAGTTCCAAAAAGCATTATATGTAACAATATTACGAATTTTTATTTCATGTTAATAAAGGGAGGTCATTTGAAATTTATTTTCAATAAAGTCTTAGTCAATTTCTTTCAATAAGAAATGAATGCATATATTTTAATAATTGCATTCAATGTGACAAATTATTTAAAGTTCATATTCTATATATTCTTCGATGCCTGAAAATTGTTTCAGAAGCATAATTATGTACATATTAAAAATTTCACTTAAGCGAAACTTTACTACCTTAACAACATACGGGGTCTTTAAGAGCTGTGTTCGTAGTGTGAAATTTGTTTCCTATTACCGTTCACTTAAAATTATATAATAATAAGTGATTTAGTGAAGCTTACTCTGATAATATGCGTTTAAAACAAAATTTTAAGTTAGCAAATTTTGTTATAACAAATACAAAATTCTCTGTCTCATGCACATTATGAAGACTTCTTACTTATAAATTGCCATTGCAATAAAAACTCTTAAATGTTTAAATATATATCTTAATAAGAAATATTTTATAAAATATATCAACAGTAAACTTTTATCGGTTCCATTATAATATGGCTGAAAGTTGCCTGTTATTTAATACACATGAAAAATGTACGTAAACAGAATAAAATGTTCCGAAATAAAATAATATTTCGCTATTTTAAGTAGAGTTTTATCCGTTAAGTATTGACTTTGTGCAAGCGCCACTCGCTTTAAGGCAATTTATTGAGATTTTAATTTCATCCAAACATTTTGGAAGTATCATTTTTTTTTTAAATCTAAACAATAATTTTTGCAAAAGATATATAGCTTTATACACTTCAAGTCTATTGGTCATGAACGTATAGTGTTTTGATTCCGACATCTTAAGTAATATCCATCGATCATTTTATGTATTTTTCGTTTTCAGACCAGACCGGTTTTTTATGTACAAACTTTGAATCAAAACACCGCATATGATAACAATATTGTAATTTTTATTTAGTAATTATGTGCAAATGTTGTTTTCTTACTTTTCCTCTATACAATAAGCATGTCAATTGTTGTTCATCTGAAAAGTGTTTAAAAACAATTTTTCATCTTGTATATTCTTTCTTTGTTTCATTTCTTTCCTTCCTTCCTTCCTTCCTTCCTTCCTTCCTTCCTTCCTCTTCCTTCCTTCCTTCCTTCCTTCCTTCCTTCCTTCCTTCCTTCCTTCCTTCCTTCCTTCCTTCCTTCATTCATTCATTTACTTACATTGTTGGGGACGCCGATGAGCGGCGTTGTCTCTTATGGAATGCTTTTTATTATGGAAGGAGCTGTTAATAATTAGCAGTTGATGTCATGTTGTGTTAATTACTTTTATTTTGATTCGTAAAAATCAAGTAAATAAATATGTTGTTATATCTGTATTGAATAAACTCATGTAAAAGTATTTGCATTGTGATATTATTTTCACGAAATTGCAAGCTCAGTTTAACAGCGTGTCCCTTAGCTTTATTGGCAATACAAAAAACCCGGACTTCGAATATCGTTGTGGTCTACATTGATGCCGTATTCTTTTTTCATTTATTTATATATTTCCAAAAATTTCCTACAAGAAGAACGTTCACCTGCAAATGAGTATTACGATAGGAATGGAACTGTTGTAAACGATTATCCTATTGATTTTATCCATATTACGTAAATCTTTTGCACAGAATGATTGTTTTTACAAAGTTTACCAGTATCTGGATGTTGAAAGCTTTCCGATTTTCTGCAATTACTGCTGTCACATGAACATCTAACTTTTTATGAATACTTACTACCATAAATTTACATAGCTTAATAAAACTGAGCCTGCAATATTTCACAATTTTGCTGTTTAGGGTGTTCTTTTGGGTTTCAGGTTTTCTCTGTTTTAAGGGGAAGTAACTCATGTTTACTAAAATTATTTGTTCTTTTCTGTCTAATTTAGGTATTACTTACTTTTTTTGTTGTATAAAATTTACAAGTTGTAAGGTCATCAAAAGCATAGAGAACCCGCAGAGTGAATTTTGATAGATTTTTATTTTACTGGCTTATAGACTGGATTTTTCTAGTTTGTTCAGTTAGTACGTACCTACAGGTATTCTGCTACAGGAATCTTCTAATCACTATGTGAAAGTAATTATTATTTTCTATTTGTTTGTATATAAATTGTTAATAAAATAACCTTTGGTTAAAAAGAAATGTAGAAAATTAAAGCTATGCATATAGGTGCTCATGTCCATATATTAAATCATAGTAAGGACAACATCCTGAAGTTATCAATTTTAAACACTTGATATATCGAGGGTTCAAAGGTAAAAGGTTATAACTGCCACTTTTGCCGAAATTGACTTTTTATGTTTTTTATAATGTACTTATTGTCCTTTATGTCTGACGAAAAAATTTTATATAAATATTCAATCCTTATAAGGGCAAAAATTTAAAAAGTATTTTGTAATAACTTCTTTTCTACAAATTATTTAGGGGTAAAAGGTTCTAAGTGTACTTATTACCTGTTGTTTACTTGTTGTTCCACATGTTGTGAAGAATCTGTAGTGGAAAAAGGTTATAACTGATTTTATCACCTTTTTCCCCTGACAGAATGCTGCATTCATACAGTTCACAGGCACTATCTGTTATCTCTTTTCCCACGAAATTTATCTTTTATAATTAAATGCAGCGAGAATATAACCGACTATGAAAGACAGAAAATAATCAGTACATACTGGTCAATGGGTGATTACATAAGTCAGAGGCAATTCATTTGTTTCCATGTTGCCAATAAAGAACCAGAGAATGTATCTAAACAGAGAACAAAACAAAGACCTATTTCGAATTCGTTTTTCACACAGGTAGAAAAGAGGGCGTGAGGGATGTTGCACTTATTCATTATCTCTCATGTACAGACCCAATCAAACCGAGTCTGCAATTTTTATGTAATATTGTTGTGATAAATGCTTCCGAGGGATCACTTTGTTTCCAGAATTTTTTACTAAAAACTATCGATTTCGGTTCCAAAACAGTTGCAAACGCAGTTAAGCACAAAGTGGCAGGGTTATATGTTGGAAATGACAATAGAGGGAAAGCTATGCCTGGAAATAAAACCGCGGAATATCACAGATCATTTGTAAAGAAACACAACGAAAGCTTTCCGACTGTTGAATCACACTACACACGAAGACCCCAACAGGAAGTATCTAACGCAAGATTTAAATATAAAACGAATATACTCACTGTATGTAGAAAAATGCAAAGGACAAAATAGAAAGTGTGTTTCAGAGGCTGTGCACAGAATTATTTTTAGTACAGAATGTAACTTTTTTCTTCCGTCCTAAGAAAGATCAATGTCCACTCTGCAATCTGTATGACACTTTGAGAATAGAAGATACTAGTAGACTAGATGAGGCAACAAAAGCAAAATATCAAGTACACCAAGTGACCAAAAAGAAAAAAAAACAGTGCAAGAATGCAAAAATCAGCCGATAAAAAACGCACAAAGAAAGATCCAAAGTTTTCTGTGTCGGCATTTGATATCCAGGCTATTTTGAAAACACCACTCGGTTTAATTGGTGATCTTCGTTACAAAAGAAAACTGTGTTGTTGCAATTTGTCATTCTAGGAACTGGGAAATGGTAACGGGACTTGTTATCTGTTGGAATAGACAAATGGGGAAACCAGGCTCGTGCAAAGTAGGAGCTTTTGTGTACTTGTATGTAACCTCTGTTGCAAGTAAGACATCTCGTATTGAAGAAGTGACATCATATAGTAATGCATGTGGAGGACAGAATTGCAATCAGTTTGTTGCAAGTTGCTTAGTTCACTGTGTCCAAGATATACCTCACATCAATGGTAAAACCACACATTTCTTGAAATTGGCCATTCATTAATGGAATGCAAATTCCATACATGCATCTATCAAGCATGCAAAAAGCCTTACAATAGTTCATGTTCCATCGCAGTGGGAAACAGTTATATCATAAGCACGCCAGAAGCAACCATATATTGTCGTTCTAATAAAATACAACGACAAACTAGATTATAAGTTGTACAAAGAATAAAACTTTGGCTCAATGAAAATCGATATTGATGGTGAACGTGTTAATTGGCTAAATATATATAAAATACATGGTTGATTTAGGGATGGATAAGGCTTATCCGATGAGCAAGAAAGTGTATCTTGGCGAGCTTTAGCAAGCCAAGATTCACTTTCGCAGTGAACCGGATAAACCTTCTCCAGCCCGACATCAACCATGTATTTGTTTTATCCTGCTTTTGATAATGTTTTTAGAATAATTAAATGGTTTCATTCTTCTTTTTCCCCGATAAAAACATCTATATGTAGTTTTGTTTTGCTGCTAAACATGTGACGTTATCAAATGACGTAATGACTGGAGATAGATAAAGACAAAAATACAGTATTGTTGTGAGCTATGTTTTTGTGGTTAGTGAGTTCAAGGCAGTTAGGTTAATGCAGAAGAAGAACAGAAGCAAAGAAAAGTCTCTTAAGGCTCAGCGAAAGGCTTATACAGAGAAGCTTCCAATATCTGCTGCAAAAGCTGATTTGATGTCACTTGTTGCCTCTGGAACAATTCCGAAGGAGTGCGAATCATACTATGAGTCATTGCCATGCAGCAAATCTATAAAAGACAAACTTTTCAGTGCCTTCTGTTAGTGAGAGTGAAGAAGATGAGTGGAGGTCATAGAATAATTAATGACAAACATTCACATTTTGTGACATGAAACAGTAGTCTTTATTTACTTAACTATGATATGGGTCACTAATATCCTTAATTACTGATGTCTGGGGTCTGTTTGACTTCAGTTCGATTATATGCCAGAGAACATTCAAAATAAA